CTACGGTGTTAAAACTAATTTCTTCGAACACTTATCTCCTGACATTGATGTCCTGTATTCTAACTCAAGTTTAGAGCCCTCTTGAATATGTAGTATTACCGTTAGGAATAAACACAAGGCCTTGAACAAACTGGATGAGGAAATGATCGCTTATCGCAGTTATTTCTCTTGTCCGATAATGAAAGTCGAAAATGAAAGGATGACTCACTTGCCAACACAAACGATCAAGATAGGACAAAGCAAAACATACGGATTGGCAAGGAGGAGACAATGCAGCTTATATGAAGAATAAGATCATGAGTGTTGCCAACTGCTATATTTCTGAATCCACTGATACGTATAATGCGCTTCAGGTGCTAATAAATCTAATAAGCAATGAGAGATTGGCTGAATGGGATGAAGAGGGAAATCCCCTCGCTCAGCTTGACATTGTTGGGTCATTTTTGGAGTGGACCATTCTCTCAGTCTGAACTTCCTCATTAGGAATTGTACTCGACGTTACATATTTCCTTATCCCTATAAAACCTGTTTTGTCCTATTTTAGGAAACGTATCGTGGCTCAGACGTCTGAAGTCAATGAAGCCTAGTCTCATAAAATGTAAAATTTAGGCGTCAGACAGGGCCAGAATTGCTTCGTGGGCCCTGCCTGATCTAGTCAGTTTCATAGTCTGCTTCTTTGCACTGCAGGGCCTTGTATTTTGTGTTGATGCAAAGTTGGACCGAGTTATGAAATACGTGTGGTGAGTTTTTCCCAAAATTCAACAATTATGACGACCCTGACTCTCTGTCGGACGTACCATGAGGAGTTCTTTCTTTACTTTAAAAATTGGCCGTTGTCAAATAAAGAAACGGAGGCGCTTATATCGTTCATATTCAACCTCTTTTTAAACTGATGAATTCTTGAAGCCAGGTATGTTTCGTCTCTCGAGTTCCTTTTCAGCAGCCAAAAGATCCATTTCATTACGTGAATGTCTTATCACTCACCCATTTCCATATAGAAATAAATACGTAAAATGACGACATGAACAAAATACCCTGAGGCGGAAAAACAACAGAAAAAACAGGTTATTTCAATAATGATGCTTCTGAGCCCTTGCTTGTAAGCAACTCATACGTGCACCATTTGTTCAGGCAGCACAAGTGCATTACTTCACAGAAACTGGCATTTGGCTTGGCAGACGCCATTTACTGTGATCATCGCGTTATTCTTAAACGGTGACAGGCGAGTCTCCCATGGAACGTACTGCGTGTGGAACAACACGTCGAATAGCGAAGTCCATATAGTGATCCAATGAATCCTTGATCGGAACTCCGACACATGCATCAGCCTTTTCGTAGACCAAAGGACGTCATGGTTTCACCAAAGACTTTTCATCCCTGTGTACCAGTGATTTGGTTTGTTTTCGTCGTTTTGCACAGGGGTAAGTAACGTACGGTGATGTAAAATGACGACATGACAGCAAACCGGAAATAGAAGTTTTGACCGTAATGAATACAAAATAACACAAAATATTACTGGATTTTTATCAGTGTACTTGTAGTTTGTCTTTCTTATTCCTCTTTCCTTTGGAATTACATGACGATTCACACTATTGATTAATTCATGCGTCGAAAAAATACTGTGTTGAAAATTTAGCGTGAAGAAAAGAGATTCAAGAAGTGGTTGGCTAACTATGTCTGTCGGGAGAGAGTTAACTTTGTTATTTTGTCAATTAAAAGTTTCCTTAAATCTTCAGGAGTGAAACTTTCTTTGATTTACGATTCAAGAACTTTGGAGAATAAACTTTTTAACAAATTTAAAATGCAACAGATTGATTCTAATCTCAGATTTTCAAGTTTATTTTGGATGCCAAAGCCTGATCACACATTGAACCTGAAATAAACCTGAGGTTTTAACATGTTCTGAACCAACTTGTTATCACTAGGGGCGTTACAGAAAAGAGCAAAAGTGTTCAGGGTGCGTTAAATTAAAGCCGTCTTCTTCTGGAATTTTGTTTTCATTTAGGAAGTTTCGTTTTCTAAGAAATATGATGTGGCTATTTTACACAACAGCAGAAACTAACAAAAAAATTCACTATCATAATTATTAGGCCTGGCCCTTAATATCGTTGGCAAACCAGCAAGTCAGAGCACAACCTACATGAACAATGAAGATGCGCAGCCAGGTTTGGCAGTGGACGGACTTCGAACCACCGCTTCTCACACAGGTAAGCGCGAGTCCAGATCTCAAACGAATTTCAGGTGTTTAATCTTTTGAAAATGACTGTAAAGGTATGATTATCTTTAACAGTTCCTCTTTGTGAAATATTTTTGCTGAAAACCCGACTCAAAATATCACCGTTCAAAACTCTTCATGCATCATGATTTCAAGATACGTCCGAGTATGTACACTGTTGGCTATAAAGGTCGATGCTAAACATGGCGTTGCTATATAAATACATGTTTATGCTGACACCAAAGTCATAGCACAGCCACAACAATGTTTAACAATGCTTCCGTCGGAAAAGATATGACTTTAATGGCAGCTCAGTGTGACGCTCTTTGTCGCAGAAACCAAAGGCGTTAGCACGAAATGAGAGACAGCAGATCGCATAAAACCGAGGGAGATGTGACGCGGAGCGCAAAGTATCAATTAATGGCTTTTTAAACAATTTCTTAAACTACCTTTTCGTAGACTCCTTTTGAGATTTCCCAGTCGGAAAAGATTACAACAAAGAGCTGTACAATCAATTTTTGTATAAAGTTGGCACCTAAAATTTGCAATTAATGGGTCTTTTCCACCATGCCATGCATGGCATGGTCATTTTCACAGCATGCAATAACACACAACGCTATGTGTCTCGATGCCGGCATTCTGTGCATAAGCGGTTCCTATCACAGATCGCGCGCTATCAACGAACAAAATGAAAGTAAATGGATCATGTGTCCTACATATACAATGCAACGGCCATTTCAGAAAGTGCGCTTCTGAACTAAGTCAACGAATCTAATTATGTCAAGTACAGCTTTGCAGCATGCAGGCCTTTCATGTTAACTGGACGTTTGGAATCTTAAATAGGCCAATTTGAAATCACTTACAAGTTTGACAGCCATTTTCTTCATATCTGATATTCCTCAGAGTGTACCGGAAGCCAGTGGTGGAAGGTTGACCTTGAGGCAGCGTACTGCTTAACAAAAATCACTATTGTCAACAGGCAAGACCACCAAAGTAAGTTTTTCAGTCATTGGCGTAAAATCGTATACTGGATACTGGGGGAAGGGGTGTGATGTTAATCAAAAGATTATACAGCCGTGGAAATTTAAAACGTGGAGGGTGGTATCACATCCCTCAATCAAAACGACGTTTTAGCTTTTATTTTCTCCTTTTGCACTGCTATATTGAATACGTTTTTGTTTCAGGGTAGTAAAAAAATCCTCAAAATCCGCCATAATTTTTTTTTCTCACCACGAAGATTCGGGGATGGATGATTCAATAACCCAGCTGACGGACAAATAGTGAGATGTTTGCCCTCCCCCCATCCCCGGGATTTACATCCAGTTTTCCAAGAAAACACATGTCTTTAAATTTGTTTTATTATAGACTTCGAAGCATTGGATAATTTGATAAGAATAACAGATAACTGACTTTTTGGTTTTTGCCAAAGTTTTAATACAATCATAAGTATTTGGAGAACGAGTACTATTTATGCTTTAAATATGGGATAGCCTCAGACGAAGGATAACAAAGCCACATTGTTCTCTTGCTTTCAAACATATATGTACACGCTTCGATTACTGGAGTATTAGCATTAAACATGTTCCCCTATTCCGATATCTTCTAACATTAGTGTCCCCTAATCCATTTTTAATCCTCCAAATTCAGGGAATATAATCTAGTCTGGATGTGAACACTAACAGGTTGTAGGTTACCTGTTATTTAAAAGCTAGTGTACTTTAAAGTTTCAGTATGCTCATAAAAAATGCTTGTTTTTCGATTTTACATTCTTGCCATTTATCATCTCTTTTGTTTCTTTTATATGAACGATCTGTTATTATGTTTAAAAGCCAAATATAATAATTTGGATTACGTAATCTACCTAATGCTGTGAACATTCTTCCATTCAGAGTTGGATCATCCTACAGAACGGTAGGCAACAATGTGCCATTTATCGAAGGCCTACTCAAATGCGGTGTGCCATAAAGGACATATCTATGCAAACGAAAGAACGGTTTATAAAGTAGTATTTTTGATTAGGGGAATCTTTAAACCAGGTACAATAAGCTTCCTACGGCTCAGCATCAAATGTAATGCAATGCTCCTGCCCTACATGCATTAAATTGGTACGGCAGAATATAGAGCAATGGAGACTACGTACGAAGCAAATTTTGTCTAGGCTCTGCCTCCAGTCCTCTATTTCAGTTGAATTATCGATGAAACCCAAACGTACTATCTCTGTGACAATGATGTAGTTAAATTTTGCAAATTATTCTCCGATAAAAATGTAGGGGTGCGGTTAGAAGGTGCTGTGCTACGTGCTGGTTTGAATTCAGATCACACCCAAAACACACAGATAGGATCTCCAGTCACTTCTAGTCAAGCTTCGTCTACCGCCGATATTGACTTCCTTAGTGCAGCCGATCGTCTCTGCTCGATACGTCAGCGTGGAATTGTCCGGGAATTGCCTTCATATGGCCGAAGTAATGGTCACTACTGAGACAAGCAGTGAGTATAAAAAGGACTTCTCCATTTATTTTTGAAAACTACTTACCAGAGTAGGAGTCAGAGAATCTTTGCATCTCCATCTAAGGCTTTCACAACAAAAACCCAAAAAGCATCAGAAGTCAAACAACTTCTTTTTGAGCACTTTCACCAAAAGTCATCATTTTAGCAGACTAAAACATTTTCTACAAATCCAGCGTTCTCCGACTTTTTAACATACCGGTACCAGCTGAATATATGAAAATACACGTGGTACTCGAGGAGAATTCCAATAGAGGGCAGGTCTTTGTTCCCGTGTGATATGCTTGAGTAGACCCGCTATTACTTCATTGTCATCAAATCTCAAAGCTATTTATTGCACAAACTCAGAAAACTTTGTAAGTTCTTTTGACCTCCTTCTTTCGGGCCGAAAAGAAATTCTTGATTTTTTATTTCGTGCATTATAAAACCTTCTCAGACCAGACAGTTGTTGCTATAACAGTACTAGAGAGTTTCCTAAAGACAAACAAAAACCACAAGAATCTCGGAGAAACATGATCACGTTGAAATTTGTGCCTCTGTACATTCTGAATGACCGCAAACGCTTGTTGCCAAGCCTGGCCACCATGCATTTGAATTTATCCTTGAACTGGTCTATTCAAAGCAAGTCAAACCAAATGACAAAACAAATTAATGCGGTCTGTCAAAGGTTTTCATTGTCACTAGCGACGTCCCATGTGCGTCGGTTTGCATGCAATTGCGTAGCCACAGAGCGCCGCGTTTTTCATGCAATGTCTTTTTTGTCAAGACGAAGAAGTTCAGTTTGTCTTAATTTGTTTCAATCAGCGGTGACGCTAACAGCTGTTGGTTCCACGAGTGTAAAGGTCAGTTGGTCCCCAGTCACCTGTGCGCAAAATTACGCCGTGGAATATGCACTGACAAATAGAGATGATTGCGAACCGATCAACTCACCAACGTACATCCAGCACTGCATCTGTCAGGGAAGCGAGACGACAATCAATGACCTGCTGTCATATTCTCGGTACACTGTCAAAGTCAAAGTCTTTGTCAATGGGGCTTATGGACCAGAAACACAAGGACAGACCACTACAGGCACAGTCGGTATGTCAACAAAAATAAGCTTTGATTTATGTAATTGAATTCTGTTAAATTAAAGAGCACCTCTTAGGAAAACATGTTTTCTCTGATTTTATCTGTTCAAATAAATATGGAAGTATCCAAAGCTAACCAGTGTCATTTGTCTTCAGAGCTCAACTATAACAAGCTAAAAAGGGTTTTTGCTGTTCATGCCAAGATTCGAAGTTTGAATGTAGATAGCGTCATTCGTAGAAAAAATAGAAAACGAGTGGACGAGGGCAACCCTCGCCCAGTGTTCGTAATGGGTAAACCTTTATGCATTCCAAGCAATGGCTACATGCACTGACAACCAACCATGAGGGTGTGTTCAAAGACTTTACCTGTGACCTCTAAAAGCAATGTTCTTCCTAAATTACCTGTCATAGATGCACTTGCTTTACCGCACTTTATCTCCATTAAATGCAATTTTTTAAGCATTCTTTTACATTACAGTACCGACGGCATCACCAACTGTGATTGAAGCTTTATCCGTTGGCCAACGAAGCCTCACTTTCACTTGGAGACCTCCGCTGTGTGGAAACAGAGGCGGTGTCATCACAGGATACGAATATATGCTCATTAACCTGAATTCTAGATCAAGTACCACTGGTACTGTGACTGGGGAAGAAGTCGTATTCCATCAACTCCTTCCATTCACTTCATACAGTTTCCAGGTTGCGGCAACCAACGCTGCTGGGACAGGCCCATACAGCGATGCAGTAAATACAAGAACAGAACAAGCAGGTATGTTATATTTGGCTCGATCTTGCTCGTATACTTTCATCCAACCTGTCATTTTTACTTGATATTGTGATTTTTGGCTTAGAAAAATGTCTAAAGTCACATCTCTTCAATCTTTAGTCTAATGAATTTTGCCCTTGTATTTCTACAGAGCCAACAGTTCCCTTAAACGTTCATTTCCAGTCAGTAGACAACGTGTCTGTCATTGTTGAGTGGTTGGAACCAGACCCTCCAAATGGACTTATCACGCACTATAATGTTCGCTACTGGAGGATTGAAGAAAACAATAACTCGAAGACCGACGTTAACTTGACTGAACTGACACATCGTGTAACAGATCTCCAAGCGGGTGCAACATACCTATTTCAGGTTATACCATTTTGGGGAATTTCAGTTCTCTAGTGACCGTCAGAGTTACCACCCGCTTTCCTTAAAGGCTCATTCCTCTGTCTAGATAAGGAAATTCACCTAAATGTTGGTAAACACAGCCCATAACGTCACCCTGATGAATTTTTACAGATTTGTCACATTCTTAAAGAATTCAGTGTTTCTTCTTTTTTTCCAGCAAACTATTAGCGCACTTCTGCTTTATGCTTCATTAGGGGTAACGATTGTAATCGAGATCTTTTGAGTTGATTTAAACGTACTCTTGCAGGTGCAAGCCGTGACATCAGCTGGTGCTGGCCCTTGGAGTGAGGCTATCAACGCAATGACAGCAATCGGAGGTACAAAAAATCGATTTACTTTTTTCAATTGCTTCAAACTACAATATTTTCAATACTGAAAATCCGTGATTTTCCATAACGCACAATCCAATGTCTCAAGCCAAACTAGATTTCTTTTCTTTGTACAGTTCCTGGACCAATAAGAAACCTCACTTATACAGAGAAAACAGAAACGTCGGTCACCTTGTCGTGGGAGCCACCCCTGAAACCGAGAGGACCAATCACTGCGTACTTAGTACGTATTCGAAAATATTTTCAAATTGAAGCACTGAACTACAAAAATTACAGGCACCCCTCAACAAATATTACAAAGAAGAGAAACCTGCCAAGCTCTGCAGGTAACATCCTGAGTTGATCTTTACCAAGTCTTGTCAGTTCTACCTAGTCTCGTCATTTTTAATATAGAAAAATATCCAAATCTACACTCTGGTTCGCCTCGTCAGGTCGAGTACAGGATCTTGGAAAGTCTTTCTCCACCAAAACTAACTGCAGAAGTCACGTATCAGAGCAGCGAAGCTCAGCAATCACCTTTTCTTCAAGGCAACCTCAGTCCTGGCACAAAATATGAGTTCAGGGTCCTAGCGAGGAATGGAATGTTCAAGGGAACTTCTGATTACGCTTTGGAGGTTTATACTAAGCCAGTGACAGGTGAAATGTTGAGAGGCTTTTTTCTTAATTTATTTAGATGTTCATATCTTTATAATCAAATATTAAACTCCATTTAATAACAAGTATAAAAATCCACTATACCAAAAATCCCACTATACGACGTCTGTTTTTAAGACACTTCGGCATTATTTGCGTTAACATAACATTAACTATAAAGGAATATAGGGTTTAGCATAGGCCTATAACTCGTATGTGATAGTCCTGTTAATAATGATTTAATTTCCACCAGATTTACCTGCACCACCTCGACCAACTCTCGACCAAGGCGAAACCACAGATACAACAGTAACAATCAGTCTAGTTGCCCCAGAATCTGAAGAGTACATCGAGTAAGGGAAGTTCATATAGGTTTTCTTCTACAAATAAATATTTTGATATCCCTTCAGCCTTCAACGGAAAAAGTATTGATCAGGTTAAAGCTTGCTTTTGATACTTTAAAAATAACTTTCTTGTCCTGTCTCTTAAACCATCTGCCTCGTACACTGTACATTACTCTTCATATTTTAATGGTGTTCTGTCCCACTGCATTTAGGTCACATGTTATTCACGTTAAGAGGCTTGCTGTTTTGTCAGTCAACAAAAGGGAAGTCCTCGTACCAGGACGCTACGAGGACCCTGCCAGCGGGTACATTACGGCCAGATTTCTCAAGCATAACCTCCCGGAGATGTTTGTAGTTGGAGACTCTAAGATGTATGGTGGCTACTGGAATGCACCACTACAGAGAGATGCTGTGTACAACATACGGTTGGGGACCGTTAGCAAAGTCAACGAAACGGTGACTTACCTATTAAACGTTGATTTGTTTCAACGAAATACACAATGTTTCATTTCTCTTTTCTCGTGAACAAGTTTAGATTGTGTTTGGAGGTGCTGGGGGCAAGTTGCATCCCTGAAGACACATTGCAGATTTCTTTGAAGTGAAAGCACCAACGACTTCAAAACTACCACCTAATCGAGCAGAATACCAGTGTTGAGGATTCCAATGCGTTTGAAAATTGGATAGTAGTTTTAAGAGAAAATTATCCAACCCCAAGGCCTGGATACGCCACTGCTGGTGTACAGGCCATGAACACAAGCCGGCAAAAGCTTTGAAAAACAAAGTGACAATTTATTTAAAGGAAGTTAATAAGTTTTTTGAGTTTACTGCGCTTATTTATTCTACAGGCAGTCAGTGTCACATACTCGGAGCCACTGACAGTTTCTGGTAAGTGATGTTTCAAAGGGTATGACACTTACTCAAAGTCACCGATTTGTTAGAACTGGACAGACAATAAACAATTATTAATGCAACTTGGGAACAATGACATATTTTCAGTCCAACCTCGGGAAGGCAACGAAGCAACAATAGCAGCTGGAGTGCTGGGTGCGATTGTGCTCGTCTTGGGATTGACTGTCACTATCACATGCGTGGGGTGGAGAAGACAAAGTCAAGAAAAAAAATCAAATAGTTCCACTGTGCAAGCAACCTTGGAATTGGTGAGTGATTGTCGTTGTTTACAAAGCTATGACTCCCAAATAGCGAATTATAAAGTTTAAAACAACGACTTGGTATAATAACTTCAAATTGTACAAGTTGTAGTACTTTCGTACTGTTCGAACTTTTGTTAACTTGAAAAACCGTGAGACTCAGACCATCTGCCAGGCACCGGGAGATTTAAAAATCTGTCGTACTCTCATGTTTATGGCTGCCTATAGAATGAAACTTTTTAACAGGTCACTCTCCAAAAGATAATTTGCCTGGCTAATAAGGTGCAACCATTTTGTTTATCTCAGAGGGATGTCTGAAACTGTACCAGAAACGCCTTGGCTGCTTTGTAAAGATTGCATTTGATTGTTTCCACCAAAGGCCGACAAACCTGCAGCTAACCCAAACGAGTCAGCAGTTGCAGACAATGGGGAGAGCGTCATTTACGAGGATATGGGCCTTCCTTCCGGGGTGCAAAAAATGGAAATCAAACGGGGGAATTTGGTCATAGAAGACGTTGTTCTTGGGAAGGGTAACTTTGGCGAAGTACGGAAAGGAAGAGTTCAGATCCAAGGCAAATTCAACAAAGCAGCTGTCAAAACACTAAAAGGTAACGCCAGTTACACTACAGAGACTATGGTGTTAAATTAATATTATGTGGTTCCTTTATGTACAGCACACAGGATTCAATATAAAATACGGTATGTTCAGAGCCAGATTATTTTGGCCCATCCCACGCCCCCCACCTCGACTGTACCACTCCCGGATTTTCTAAACTTGGACTCAATGTACCTATGGTTTTGTTGTCAGGGTCATTTGAGGTTCATGGCTACATATGCGCCAGTGTACGCGTGCATTGAGCGCCGCAGTGGAAAAGTATACATTTTGGGCTGACCCGTCTCGCCAAAATGCGCACTGCGCGAGAACGGTAATTCGATTATTGCAAAAATGGTGTCTCACTGAACGCAAAGAGCTACTCTAAATTTTCCTAGAGGCTCAACTCCTGAAAAAATTGCACTGCGGCGATATTGGAGAAAATGTCTTAGGGACGGATTCCGCTCCGGCCCCAGAGTTACAGCCAGAGGGATTTTTACTAAAAAAATCTCTGACAAGATCTACATCGTATGGGCTCACTTTATTTATATTGTATTCTCACCATGAATGTTGTTACTGCTTGTATTTCTTCTTTGGTTTCAAATATCAACCTGCCCTTTGTAGATGGCGCCTCTGATGCAGCTGTAAAGGATTTCAAGGAGGAGTTACAGACAATGGCTAGCATCGAGCCTCATCCTAACATTGTATGTCTCTTGGGGGCGTGCTTTTACGAAGGTAAACCGTCCATAACTCCTTGGAGCAAGACAAACAAGTAGGGGCGTGTATTTTGCGATAACTTTAAGGGAACAGTACAGGTGTTACTTCCTTTCTTCACTGTCAATCTTTTGACAAAACGTTAACTGTATCGCAATTATTACCAAACACTTTGATATTTCCACACAATATTTTCATTCCGACGTTTCATTTGTTGATGCCGTGATCACATTGCACTGCTCATTACATACTCTGGGAGGGCATCTGTTATTTGGATGCAGGTCACGTGATCAGAGCAAATCACGCGTGAAGGCCCTTAAAACGGCCAGTGGCGTAAATCCGTACTGAGGACTGGAGGATGAGGGATGAATTAAAGAAAGAAATTACCAGACCATGAAATTCTAAAGCTTAGGTGGTGTGGTGCTCGACACCATATGACGTTACGGTGTGTTGATCATGATCAAGATGTACATATTATGACCCTTCTATTGTTAAAACAACTGATTTAAAGCTTTGGCAGTTTTTCCCCTTCTTAATAATTTTTTGAAAAAATATCCGTTTTTATCCTTACAACAAAAAGTGATGGATGATCCAAACGTCCCTTCCAAGGTAAAAACGTTACGGGAAATTTACATTCGTCCCCAGGGGATTTACATCCATCCAAATGGTAAAAGCTTGCAGCCAGATTTTGCTACGAATGGCCGGTTTTAGCTGCATTGATTTGCGTCTGTCGTTCCGTGGGTCATTTTCAGTGGACAATTACAACAAGTAAAAACTGTAGAGGAACCTTCCCACTCAAAACTCAAATTGTTTGTTGTTTCCTAGGGATCCTGTGCGTCGCACTTGAATATCTTCCTAATGGCAACCTGCGAGATTATTTGAGGAGTAATCGGCCAAAACAGAAGCATGAAAAGGAGAGGAACACCGGAGCCACTCCTTTGACCTCTTCAAATTTGTTGAAATTTGGCGCAGATGTAGCCAAAGGAATGGACCATCTTTCTAAGACAGGGGTTTGTTAAGAGCTTGTATACATTTTCAGTTAATATCACAGTTACATAATTCAGCATATAATTCATGTCTTTTTCTTTTTACATGTGTCATGTTTGTGTTTTGTGAAATCACACTGTTGTATTCTGACTGAGGTGTAAGGTTATAACATGTCACCGATTACTTTTTTATATTATACACCTGTCAGTCACTTTTCTCTTCAGATCATCCATCGTGACTTGGCCGCAAGGAACGTTCTTCTTGCTGAAGACTTAACCGCCAAAGTCTCTGACTTTGGCCTTTCCAGAGGGGAGGACATCTATGTTCAGAAATCATCGGTAAAAATAAATGGAACAAAATCAACACCTGAATAAAATACCGCCATAATAATCCAAGCATCACGCAAGAATTTTAAGAGAGACGTTTAACTACAATTATTTACAGCATCACCTTCGTTTGCAAAAAAATAATAAATAAATATGAATTTCATCAACGACTCAGTCACATTTCTGATTAATTTAACATTTCATTAACATTAACATTACTATTATTCAAAAGTGATGAAATGAGTCTAGCCACAGGTGTTATGGATGAACAGCATCAATGTGTTTTTGTCGGGAGGGGCCAGATCTTTTAAGCTAACCAATCCTACACCGCTCTGACTAATATTAAATTTTGTGCTGTGGAAACACAGAGAAAGGAAGAACTGTCTGTCCTTCTCTATGGTTAAAATAATTTAGAAGTTGCCGGAGCAACCCGAGAGTCATGTCGTATGATATGACATTGGAAAGACAAAAATGAGCCTGTTTTGTGATACATTACTTAGATTGGAATTCGAATTAAAATTAGCATAGTATGGTTATGAAAATTTCCTATCCGCCATTGGGAACGGTTCCCTGTGGCCCAAGGTGGCCGGACCGAATTCTTTCTCATTTTCACAGAATGGCTTACAATTATTTTGGCACATTGTGGCTGGATGGTAAATCACAAATTATTTTCTTTTTTTCTCAGACGCGGATTCCAGTCCGCTGGTTAGCCGTCGAATCTCTGACTCGCCGTGTCTACAAGTCAAAGAGTGATGTGTAAGGGTGAAAATCTGGATTTCTATGGTGTTTTGTGTGTTTTGCAAAAGATTGATTCCAAGTCACCAGTATTTTGACCAGATTTGACTTCTAGAGATACATTTGGCCGTGTACAGACTGGTAATATGTCGACGGGTTTGAAAAAGTTAGAAATAAACACTGCCTAAGATGTCATTGGTATACATATACATGTATACGTGTCACCAAATCAAGTGGACATCCAAATGGCACCGCTCGGTCAGTGCTTCCATTACCTTAATTATATACATTCACATTAACTGCATTTACAGAGTTAGAAAATGTACCAATTTTGATGTGCCAATCTTTCTATATATATTCTGTATTTCAGGTCACAATGGAAATGAAAGATCCAATTACTGAAAATGGTTATGGTACAACACGATAGGAAAATATCCTTCCAAAAATTACTGTTCTATGTGTTGTTTCCCCTTTGACTTGCCGTTAATTTTCTGAGCTTTCTATTTCGAATTTTAGATGGTCGTTTGGCATCCTGCTGTGGGAGATAGCAACATTTGGTATGTTATGGTTTTAAAAAGCATTGTGTTTAGTTTAAACGTCCTTCGTCCCCGAACAGGTGAAATATTAAGGATGGTTTAACACGCTCTATGATAAACGTGAGCTCGCGACTAATTGCATTCAAAGGACAAATGTCTCCCTTCACTGTTCAGGCTCTACTCCGTACCCTGGGATTGAGAGCAAGTCACTGGCTAAAAGACTGTTGGACGGATACCGCATGCCTAAGCCGGAAAACTGCGCTGATGAAATGTAAGAACAGCCGATAGACAGTCAGACGGGTTAACACAGAAGTTACCCCTTAACTAACAACGACTGTTAAAAAAAAAACACTTTGGCCTACTTGGAAATTTGGGGGGGGAATCAGTTCTTCATTCCTATTTATTTCTTGGGAATCATTCCATTGTGCAAAACTATTCAACTGACTGCCTTTGCAGGTTTTTAGTCTGCATATTACGAAGTGCCTAAGGAATTAGCCTTTCATGGGGAAACAACCGAAGAAAGACACAAAAACACAAACCCGCTAAAATCCCTTTTGCAATACTTTCAAGTGAATTAATTTAGCAAAGCACAATTCTGCATTTAAGTGTCATTTCTTCAAGCAGCTATAATCTGATGCTGGAGTGTTGGCAGGAGATTCCAAGCAGACGTCCAACCTTCAAAGAAATCAATGAAGCCCTCAAGGACATGAACGCCAATTCGGATAAAAATGTAAGTGTGGTGTTTGTCTGAAACTCAGAACATTTACACATTTTATTAAAGGTGGTTTTGCATTTAGTCACCATTTATCAGAAAACTATTATGGTCTGCAAACAATTGTGGAGAATGTGATACACTGTATAGGGACTTGTTTTTGCTCTTCGACACAGGAAACGGTTGTGTCGAATTCAAAAGGGTAAACGCAAACTTCTTATTTGTATATTTCATTTCATTTTTTCATGTACAAAGTTCGAAATACAACATTTTCTTGAATTTCCTAGATTTACATGTCACCCACCATCTACGAGAACTTCATCATCATGAAAGAACTCGATGATAACTAGGTCAATCAGCTGACCCTTATCATGGAAATGAATCAACGTAAAATTTTCTAAATAGGAGGTTAGTTTGTTTTCTTTAATGATGTATGTAGTGATTGTTGAAAAAGAAATTTAGGAGTTCATATTTCTACGGAATGTTAATAAGCATTAACGTCTCGTTCAAGTTAGCAAACGCTTGAAAACAGAATATCCATTGCATTAATGATAAATGACTATGCGGTAGAATAATCTTTAATGAGTTTTCGTTACTGTTTTTGATTGGTTTCTACATAAATGTAATTGAGGCTTGAGGAACGTGTTCGTGGATTTGTTTACATAAAATGATTTCTTTTGCCTCCTTTTAGACTAACAATTCAAATTCTTTTGTGAGCAAATTGTGAATAATGCAATTATATACAAATGATTCGTAGGCAGTGTCTGTGAATATAGCTATAATTATTTCAACCCTTGATGTAATCCTGCAACAGTTTAATCAAAGTATCCCGTGTGTAATGCATTTTAAATCGCGTGTTAGCAAAATTGTCCACTCAATGAGTATCATGCGGCCCACTGACACGTAAACTTAGGTGCCACTTCTTTGAGTAGGCTAGTAGTATTTTCCAGGGGAAAATACAGTCGACATGACATTATAATGACTTCATAATACAAGCGGTGGTTTAAGAAATCTCACAGCAATCGGCCGATGGAGTTTGATAAACACCTTTGACGTTTAGGTAACTGGTTTATTTTTCCCCTTCACAAAAGAAGTTGCAAGAAGAAATTGCCGATGAGACATTTCAACATCCACGCTTTCCCAAAAAATCACTCATAATATGCATGTCCACGTCTAAATATTCTTTAAACCATATTGACGTGTAAATATAAAAATCACCTTATCCATGCTAAAAGCTAGGTATTTTATGTGTATGCTCTTAAACTTTTGAAGGAACATTTTCAAACTACCTGTTGCCAATGTTATCCTTTCTGCCTAATGACCAGATATATGTAATTTATAATTGTTTGTTTGGTGTAAACTTGCATGTCATATTTGTAAAGCTATTGTCAATCTCCTCATGTGTATGTAGGAAGCTTAAGTCCACAGACAGCTACATGTATTTTAATATATCTTTCTAGCAAGCTTAATATGACTCAAAAGTAAGTGTCGCATTTACCCAGATATACACCTATGCGTTGCCGTTTAAACATCTGAATTAAAAATAATTAGTAACTGTGTATCAGTAGCTGAGGGTATTAATTAAAAGACTAGTGAAATGGCTAAAGTGAGCCAGTGTAGTTTTGGTGCCATGATTTCAATCCATTGGTATTCACTTCTACAATAACATGATTAGGCATGGAAGGTGTCATTTGAATGCTCTTATTTTCAAATTTATTCGTTGCCCTCAAAATGCTGTGTGAGATGCCATATAGCTATATTAACCCCTTAAAGTTGCATTACTTTTTTGAGACACCCTGTATTATAATTGTACAGGACAGTCCATAGTTATGTCTCCATCTCCAAGAGTTTTCGAACGGTGAAATAACTAGCGCCCCCACTGTATCAAGAAATGTCATGCTACTGTGTTGTATGGAGAAGATAAAAATAGAGTACATGTTGGTCTGCGTACACGTCGAGATTGAGACTCAAGCATATGCATTACATGCATTTCCGTTGCTGCGCTTTTATACTTTAACACAAGGACACAATTGAACACACTTTTGCCTGACAATAGCTCTCGACAGACACACACTATAACCAATGCAGTCAGCGTGCACTGGTACAAGGAAGTTGACATGTTTTACTTTATGATTTCTGTAGTTATTACAATTACAATCCCTGGTGATTGTTTTTTCTGGTGAATTATAAATAGAAAAGAAAGACACACTAGTATTTTGAATATCTTTTCTGGTCCAAAAATTACATCAGTCACAGTGACTGTGTGATCACTTTGCTTGGACGCCCCCAAGGCCTTGACGAGGACTGATTAAATTCAAAAGTTGTGGCATGAGTCGTACTTCATACAAGCTTGTCAGGGAGAAAAGTAATTCGTAGACAACGCGTAGGCAATACGTGTCATGACCCACGCCTAACCACGCTCAGCAAAAGCGCAAAAAAGACTGCAGACTCAACACAATAAAAAGGAGTAATAAAACACTGATGTCATCATGAAAGGCAAAATGCAGGTGTGTGAACGGGGTAGCAGGGCATGCAACACCCCATTCCTCAGATCAAGGTTAAAAGCTAAGCTTATAGGATTAAGACATATGAAAGGAATACATAGGCAAGAAAGTGCATCGTGATTGCTTCAGTGCTAGCCCTTATTTTCTCTGCACTGTATTCAACCATGGAGGAAGAAGTAATCTACTAATTAGTATCAAAAAATAGTCAATAGGTCTTGAACGAATGGATGAGGAAATGCAAATTTTAGTTTTTTCTCCGTCCGATAACGAAAGTCGAAAACGAAAGAAGGAATCACTTGCTAACACAAACGATCAAGAGAGGAAAATAAACATTGAAATTTAAAAGATGTGGCAAATACAGGCAGGGTTTTCCTTTCAAAGCAATTTAGCTAATAAAGCTAGGCTCTATAGGGGTTTATGGTGTGAGTAGAGACCTGGGTCTCTGTGTGTTTTGGGGTCGTTTCAACCGAAGTAAGCTCTGTTTTTCTGACTTTTTGAGGAGCATAAATCGGCTGTTCTATTCATCGTCACCAGCAATACATAATTCGTGTTTACGGGAACAGGAAGCAATTGTATAAAATCCAGAAAATGGTTGATGAACAATATAATAATGAATGTCGCCGATTGCTGTTAATCACGTAATCCTCTGAAACGGTATCCAAGTCAGGTGAAAACAACCTTCATTAGCACAGACCTTCAGCAAATAACGAAATTGGTAGGGTTTTAAGTGGGGAACCCCCTCGTTATGTTATGGCACTCGTGGACTGCAACGGGTTTGCTTCATTCAGAGGTTCAACAAAAGGAATGCACTTGACGTTACGTATTTCCTTAGCCGTACCAAAAGCTGTCCGCTTGTCCTGTTTTAGGGAAACATAACCTGAATTTTCATTGATAAAGCACAGTCTAAAGTGTGAAATTGATTCGTCAAAACTGGCTGGATATCCTATGGAAAAGTAGACTTAAAACAAACTGATGGTTTAGCCCTGTTGTCAATTACAGAATCAGAGGTACCTACAATAAACAGATTTTATATTTCTTTCAAATTGAAATTTCCTTTTATTGTGATCAAACCTGGTAATATTTTATTCCCAATAGATCCTATTCAGCTGCTAATGACTAGTTTTGATAACGTTATCATCAAACCACTCTTTTCTTCTTAACATCAAAAATATGCACCGAAAATATATGAATAAATCAACAAATACAACAAAAAAGTGCAGGAAACCTCTGCATTCTGGCTGTGGAACCCTTTCTTGCAAGTCATTCATGTTTATACTTATTGTTCAGATAGTACAAATACATTACTCCAACGCAATCAGAAAGTGCACTTGGCGTTGCAAGTGTAGCACGTCATTCAGCGGGAACAGGCCAGTCTCGCACGGAACATACATAACAACGCGCGGAATATGGCGACATTGAGGTCCGACATTTGATAACATTATTCCCTGACTGACTCCAATACAACTCCTGTCGTGGACCTAAAGACGTCATGGTATCATCAACGATGTTCCACCCTTGTGTGACCATAATTTCACTGGTTTTCGTCGTTTTAAACAAAGGTAAATGAAATAATGTGTTTCAAAATAACATGACGACAACCCGGAAAAAGAGCAAATTATGCAAAACCTTCTCGTTGTAGTGCGTGTATTTAGTTTTGGTCTATTTTATGCTCTTTCTTTGCTTTTTCCTATGTACACAAGTTGATTGTTATGTTGCTACTAGCCGTTTTAGCGGGAACAAATGTGCACAAGGCTCTTGAAGTGATTGTAATGAGCTAACCGGCTTCGAATCCGGGACTTCTACGCATGCAAACTCTTATTGTGTTATCTAGCATTTGTACTACAAAATACAACACGTTTTTCTAAACGTTGGAAATGCATTAAAGAAGAGGAACAGCATACAAATCGTCAGTTAAAATGACAAAATCGTTGGCTGAAAATTTAAAGAAATTTAAAGGCGCTAGAGAGACCTACAACTATACTCATAATTTTGAAGGCTTTTATTCACTGCTGGCAATGCGACGTCCCACAAGCCAACTTCAAAATGGCTTCTGTGTCATTGGTAGCTATATAAACCAGGTTTTCCCCATCATTTCTGCAGCACTATGAGAAATTAAGTCGCTTTCCTTTCACAAAGACTTTTAACAGATGCAAAGTAAAAAGCAATCTAAACACTGAATTTTATGGATTGCTGGGCTTTGCCCACAGTTAATTGTATCTTTATTTGGGGAAATTTGTGTGAGGTATTAAACAGGTTCCTGCATTACGTGCGTAGTTAAAAAACTGTAACAACATGCAAAGTATATTTAAAGAAGTGCGGGCAAATTCACTGAAGTAGATTTCGAAACTTCAACCGTGCTACAGCTTTTGATAGCAAGGTATTTCAGCTTTGATACGAAGACCACAAACGTGTACAAATCTATTGAAAGTTAACAAAATATAGAAGTTAATGAAATTCGATTGTGCTTCTCTTCATTTCTTGGGAATATTATGATGGTGGACAGTGGCAAAAACTAACAAATAATTTTCAACTTTCATATTAGGCCTGGCCCTCGATATCGTTGGTAAGCCAGCAAATCAGAGCACAACTTACAATGAAGCTGGGAGAGCAGGCAATGCAGTAGACGGAGATGATTCCACGATTTCCCACACAAGTAAGTGTTGTAAATCTCAAAAGCACGTAGGGCTCCAGCACCAAAGTAATTATGTAACCTTTAAGTCCACCTGTTTTAAAATTGCTCCTCGTAAAATTAAACCACTTGACGCCAAATTTAAAATGTCCCCCATCCACAATGCATGTTATACGAACCATGTGCACCCACAGCTCTCATTAATAGGTACTGAAGGACTGTTTGAAAAACCGTCCTGAAAAGATTTATAAAGCAGAGGTTTTTTAATTCAAAACAAAGTTTGGATACTCCTATATACTAAAGCCTCTTCATTATTTTTTCTTTCGAAGGCATTCCTCTTTAGAAGATACCCGGCTGTAACTACCGTGTGCACATTAGCAATTTGGGGATCTATAATAGCTGCTTGACTTCAGGGCTCTATTAAGGTTGATGGGGAGCTAGTTTAGATTGACTTCAACTTAGTCAGTGTATTTGTGGTGTCACAACTTTATTTAGCTGTTATGGGATTTTGAGTAGGCCTTCGTAAAAGAAAAAGTCACATCAAACAAAACCATGCTGTCCGAGTTCTGAATTTCAAGCAATTAATTGTCAATTCTCGCTTAGCTCTGACATGTCACTTCCGGAATCTTTCAGCAGTCTGTGGAACAGTTAGTGGAACACTTTGAAAGTGGGCGGCTCCCTTTACAAATGGAAAAAAAAGACAAAAAGGGGAATTTTCTGTTAAAGTACACTTTTACATTGACGGCAGGGCACCATAATGCCCTGTTTGGGCCTGACCTCAGTATCGGACGGCCAGGCCCTGGCTTTATGGATAAGGAATAATCCATCTTGAAATGATGACAACACTTTGAGGATGCAATCAAGTATAAAGTGACATGACTTGAAAGATGCACGCTCATTATCTAAGGCACTACTTATCCAATTGGTTTTTAATGTCTTTGTAGTGATTTGTAATACAGCTATGACATTCTGAATTTCAAGTGTCACAAGACACCATAAGGGTATAATCTTTTCAGGTTACTATCTAATGAAATATATATATCCCATCAAATGTATACTGTATCATTTTTAGGGGGACGTCCCCTTTAAAATGCAGCTATATACACCAGTTTTGATAACACACGGAAATACGACTTTCTTTTCCTCATGGCGAATGAACATGGCCGACACAAACCTGTTTGTGACGCTGTTCCAATCCTTGCACTTCCATGCCAATGTCTTCATTCACTTACAACTTTTATTAATCGTTTACAGTGGTGGGATACATTTTTAATTAAAATCCTCATCCACCATTTAAGCTGTGCCCAAACCATCACAGCTGTTTAAGACCTCTTGGACAGTACAAGATTGGAGGGACATGTAGCCTACAAAAGGGTCTCTCCTATGTTCTGAATTCCAGGGGTTGTATATTTAAATGGAACTCTATCATTAAGATAAAACTGCCCTCAAAATAAATCCGCTGGGAGATGTTTTCTCACCTAATCGCTTTCTTTCAAGACAAGTGTAACGTACCGAAATCGTTTCTTTTTTTCAAACACTCTCAACAAGCATCGATTTAGTCCAAGTTCATTATTAGTGTAACGTTTGTTTCAACGTCATTTCGTCAGAGTGTGATGGCTTTGGAGACCATTGGTGGAAGGTTGATCTCCAGGCGATCTACTGCTTGACAAAAATCACTGTAGTCAACAGGGGAGATTGCTGTGGTGAGATTGTCAGAAATTTTCCTTTTCAACTTCACTTGCAACTGCTTTCAATTCTAACTCAGCTAATCACACAAATATGCACACCCAAACAATCATGCATGCACTGTCTGTTCCGATTTTCTGCCCTAATTACATGCATGTTTTATTTCTTTGTGAAAGAATGAGAATCTAATCAAAGATATAATAAATTTGAGTCACCTGATCTCTTCATTAAATGAAAATTTGACACACCATCCTTCCATTCATCCTTCCAATCGGGCATTGAAAGCGATCCCCAATTTACTGGCTTTGGTCCGCCATCAAAGAGTTCATTATCAACTTACCTTGAACTTAAGTTTCGTTTAAACGGACGGAACATAGGTGTGATTTCATTTAAAGTTCAAACCTTATTATGTTGTTACAGTCACAAAACGAATCAAACATCACCATATTAAGGTCGGATTGCGAACCAAATTTGGGGGAGGGGAATTTTGGGGAAGCGGTTTTTTTTTTTTTAATTCTTCTGGGGCTAGATATTTGAAAATTTCTTCATATAAAGCCTAGGTATTCTTTTATGGCCTCTCTCAGTTGTAGAAAGGGGGAGGGTTTGCATGCTTTTCGGAGGTAGGAAAGTGAATTGTCCCCCAAATCGCCTTCTCTTCATTTTACTACACATCTGGTCATAGAAGAGGGTCCTCGCCACCCCCATTTTGCCTCTTCATTCCGCCATTGCAGTCGACTTTCATGCCTCTCTGGCACAATGTACTTAACAAAATCAAGTGATTTTTTGGACATACTTAAGCCTTGAACTTTAAAAAACGGAAGGTGCAAGCCAATGTGAGAAAGTGGCATAAAAGATGTAAGCCTAATAACGTTCTTGCAAAAAATGCACCACTCATATACTGAAGGATTGTGTGAAGAAAAAATATATTTATGTCAAAAGGAATTTTTCATTTGTTTATTTTTTTCATCATCAATATTCTGTGAATGTATTACAGTGCCATTCTCTACACTCCTCTTTGCAGTAATTCCCTTACGTATACTTGTCATGGGGATGTCGAGTTCGTTCAAGATTTTAAATATTTCATATTACAATTCAAGGGTGGAGATTGACAGACGCTGTGGTGCGAGCCGGGTTAGACCCATCCAATTTTTCGCAGAACACAATGATAGGCTCGGTCTCCTCTGGTCAAGCTACCAATGGAGCAGTGATTGATTTCATGGTGGACCCGGTAGTCTTCGCTCGATACGTCAGTGTGCAACTGTCTGAAGGCAATAATGTATGTCTCCAAATTGCTGAGGTCAGAGTTGAGGAGTCGCCTAACTGCGGTACGTTCGTGTATGCTTAACATAATCTTTAGTAAAACAGTCAAGGAAACTTTATTTCACATTCATATCTGAAAAATGTAAACCTCTGGAAATCAGCAACCGTGGGTACATTAGCATAATTAAAGTTAATTAACTTCATTTTGTTTTCCATAAATCTTGTTGTAAACACTAGGATATGGTATGCTTACATTGCAGTTTATAAGGTGTTCATGTTGTAATGAGAACTCTAAGGGAGAGAGTTCATTTTACACTCGCTCGAATCAAGATCTAAATCTTTCTGTACAAGTGTCTGATTTGCCATTCGAATCTAAAAATACAATCACTGACTAAATGAACCGGGAAAGGTCATCTGCCTATCGGTCTTCCTTTGATGTTGGTATCTGCACTGACGCAAAATATTATAGAACATATTACAAACTATGATTTTTAATACAAAGCAGGCCTACAACACGTTTGTAGACTTTGAAAATACGTAAAAGAAGAGGAACAGCCTGTCAATCGACAGTTAATTAAAAAGAGAAAATCATCGGTTGAAATTTAAAGAAGAGAATCCACACAAGAAGACAATAGACAGAACCCTGAACTACAACTAGTCTATCTTTTGAAGACTTGTAGTCATTGCTGGAAATGCGACGTCGCATACGCAAATTTCAAATTAGCTACCGCGTTATGTGTATATAAACAAGGTTTTTACCATCGTTCCTGCTGCAGTGTGAAACATTAAATCGCTTTCCTTTCACAAAGACGTTTGACATATGCAAAGTTAAAAGCAATCTCAAACATTGAATTTCAAGTAGCGATTTCTGCAGGACTTTGTCCTCTGTTTTAGTTTTTTATTTCATAAAATTTGTTTGAATCGGAGTTTGAGAGCACACTGCGGATTTCTAAACTTCAACAGTGCAGCAGCGTTTGATTGCAAAGTATTTTCACCAATGATACGGTGGCCCCACACCTGTAGAAAATTACTGAAAGCTTACGAACAATTAAGAGCTGACGATACCAAGACACAATAAATGGTATAAAGTTGTATATTTACGACTTGGTCTGTAATAGATAAGGTTGTACTTCTCTACACTTGGAAATATCATTACGTCATTATGTGCGGTGGCAAAACTAACAAATAATTTTCAACTTTCATGTTAGGCCTGGCCCTCGATATCGTTGGCAAGCCTGCAGATCAGAGCACAACTTACAATAACGCTGTAGCAGGTTTGGCAATTGACGGAAACGATCGCACGGCTTCCCATACAAGTAAGCGACTCCACATCCAAAAGACTGTTGCCTTCCCCCAACAAAATGATTGTAAAACCTCTAATATGTCCACCTCTTTCAAAGTTGCTCCAAGTCAAATTATTTCACTTGACTAAAAATTTAAAATGTCACCCACACACAGTGCTTGTTTATAAGTCAAGTGCACCCACGGCTCTCATTAATAGGTACTAAAGGGCAGTTATGAAGAAGAATTTGTAGCATTTAAAGTTTGGAAAACCTGGGAAGATTGATAAATTAGATTTTTTTATTCTTTAAACAAATTTCAAAATTCGAAAAAAATTCTGGCAAAGAAGAGCTTAACATTGACGCAAGGTCATTATAATACACTGTGCACACATTTTCCCAGATGGCCTAGCCCTGGATTTATATGGGAACGGAAGGCTCTACATGGAAGTAATGACAACGCTTTGAGGATAAATTCGTGTATCAGGTGACATGACTTGAAAGATACACACTTAAGAGGCAGATATCTCACGAACTACTTATCCAATTGGTTTTAATGTAGTGATGTGTTGCACTTTGACATCATTCTGAATTATTCATATGTTGCAGGACACCATCATAAGGGTTAAATTTTTACAGGTTACCGTCTAATGAAATACATCCCATCAAAATGTGTACCGTCTCATGTTAAGGCGTGAAGGCCCCTTAAAATACATATCAATGGGCCAGTTTTATAACATGCAGAAACACCATTGTCGTTTTGCAAGGGAATGAACATGGCCGACACAAACCTGTTTGTGGAGTGAGAACACGCTGTTTCAATCCATGTACTGCCATCTAAATGTCTTTTTTTACAATTCTATTAATCGTTTACAGTGGTAACATACATCTTTCGTGAACCTCCTCATCCACCGAACCAAAGGCCGTGCCCAAATGACCTCTCGAACCGTACAAAACTGGAGGAACACGTACAAAGGGTCTTTGCATGTTCTCAATTCTCAGGGGTGGAACACAGGAATTCGTAATAAATACTTTGTATAATGTGTTGATATTTAAATGGAACTCCATCATTAACTGCCCTCAAAAGTCAATCCTGTGGGAGATGTTTTCTGACCCAGCTGTTTTCATTCAACACAGTGTAGAAGTACCGAATTTTCAAAGCATTTTTACATAATTAGAAGTCTCATTAAGTATTGATTTAGTCCAAGTTCATTATCAGTGTAACGTTTATTTCAATGTAATTTCGTCAGAGTGTACGGGCTCTGGAGACCATTGGTGGAGGGTGGATCTCCAGGCAATCTACTCTTTGAGGAAAATCACTATTGTCAACAGAGTACAATGCTGTGGTAAGATTTTCAGAAATCGTCTTCAAAATCACCCGCTGCACAGGCCTCACTTATAAGTAGCGGTGGGTACTCGGATCGGGTGTCACTTGAAAATTTGCTAACAGTGCGCCATCTGTTTCCCTTTAATGACAGAAATTCATGTTGGTTTACGGTCACCTCTGAAACCTAGCTAGCAAACCTCTTTGTGGCATGTCGATATGAACACCTCAACCATCATGCAATGTCTACTCCGACATTTTTCATTAATTACACGCATGTTTTATGTCTTTGTGAAAAGATGAAAATCTAATGGAAGATTTAATGAATGTCAGACAACGAATGGATCTTCACTGAATGGAATCTTGACACAGCATCCTTTCATTTTGAACTTTTATTAAAATCGTGAATTTAAGGGGAGTCTTAATTAACTTGTTTTGGTCTGATATCACAGAGTTCAATGTACACAAACCCTGAACCTCAACTTCATTTAAACGGATTTAGTAGTAAATTCAAGTTCAATACATATTTTGTGACAGTCATAAAATAATCAAACATAATTGTCGATTTCCTACGGTAGTTTTGCGAACCAAATTTGGGAAAAGGGCAAAATCTTTCGTTTCTTATTCTCTTGGAGCCAAAAATTTTGATTTTAGACATTTCTTCACGTAAAAGTAGCCTTTTCTGACATTTCTATAGGGTAGAAAAGGGTCAGGGAAGTGAATTCTCTTCCAAATCGCCCTTTCTCCATTTTCTTACACATCTGATCATAGCAGAGGGTCCTGAATACCCCCATTTTGCCTCCTCAATCAGCCATTGCAGTCGACGTTCATGCTTCTCTTGCACAATATACTCTACAGAATCAAAGCGACATTTTTGCATCCTTAAGCCTTGAACTTAAAATTGGTGTAAGAAATTTTAGAAAGCACCGCAAAAGATTTCAGTTTAATAACTTAATTTGCGGGGAAAAAATCCATCAGTTGTAAGCGTTGGGATTGTGTGAAAAAAGAATTATTCATGTCAACTCAAAAGGTCACTTTAATTCAACTTTTTAACTACTTTGTGATATTACATATGCGGGGGGGAATTAAGCGGTGCTGTGGTACGAGCCGGTTTTGGGCCCATCAGATATCTCACAGAACACAATGATAGGATCAGTCTCCTCTGGTCAAGAGAACTATGAGACTTGTGCTATACTAGTATTTTGCATTTAGATTATAAGAAAACATAATTGATGTAAGCAGTGCTGGTTAGTCCTCAGGAGGATACTCTATCACACGTTTCCGTGCTCTCATATCACTATTAATCTAGTCACAATTATCTGGTTTTCAATGTTTTTTCAACATTTCAGTATTACGTTTTAGGTATTTACATGAACGTAAATGTACACGGTGCTGTTCTCGAGACAAGTCAGATTAGAATCCCTGTCTCAGAGCCGTTTTATTTGGAGGGATTAATTCAGTTTTTCTTGTTGCACCATTTGCACATGCAGGGGGTAGATTGGCAGGTGCTGTAGTACGAGCCGGTTTGGACCCATCAGATTTCTCACAGAACACGAGAATAGGATCAGTCTCGTCTGGTCAAGCTACCGATGGAGCAGTGATTGATTTCATGGTGGACCCGTTCGTCTCCGCTCGATACGTCAGTGTGCAACTGTCTGAAGGCAACGGTGTATGTCTCCATATGGCTGAAGTCAGGGTTGAGGCGGCTAATTTCAGTATGTATGCTTATTCATAACGTTCAGAACACGAGTGTAGGACACTTTATTTCACAATCACATTCGCATCCGAGAAAACAAATATCTTAATGCCAACAACTACAGACAAATGGATTAATTAATCCAGGTAAAGTTTATATAATAATAAACTTTATTTTCCTCCGTGAATCATGCTTTAACGGCAACAGGCCATTGTCAAACCCTGAAACAAGAGGGAAAGAATTTCGAAAGTTAATATAAAGATTACTCGGTGTTCATTTCGTGAAGAGCACTCAACCCAAAAGTGCTCAATTTACACTTGCTAGAACAAGCATCCGACTCTTCGTGGTACAAAGTGTCTTATTTACAGTCAGGTCAGTGTGTTATACTCAGTCAATTAATCAACAGGAAAAGATTATGTGCCCATCGTTTTTATTTGGATTCCAGTTTTTTTACTGACGCAAGCACCAATAAATTCTACGAGTGTAGCAGTCAGCTGGTCTCCGGTGCCCAATGCAGATCATTACAGCGTGCAATATGCTCTGAGCAACAGAGATGACTGCGAACCTATTACCCCATTGGAGTATACACCTCGATGCGTGTGTCAGGGAAGCCAAACTACCTTATCCCCCCTGATACCAAACTCTGAGTACAGTGTGCAAGTCGAGGCTCGAGTCAACGGTAGCTATGGATCAGTAGCAACAAAACGCATCACAACTGGCTCAGTGGGTATGACAACTGATTTCAGCCGGAATTCATTCGTCTTACAAATTAACCTAGATTTTTGCAATAAACTGAGCCTTTGTCAGTGATTTTTATGGTCCCATTACAAATCAGAAGCAGCTTAAACGGATAACAAGATTTCTTCTTACCTGTTACTGTGAGGTTTAATATCATCATCGAACAAACATTCTGAAAAGATATATTGTGTAAGCTTGTTTGCATTTAAATAGAACTTCTTGGGGAATTTAATATTGCAGCACCAAATGGACCACCAACCATGGTTAGAGTTTCTTCCATTGGCCCACACAGCCTCACTTTCACCTGGAGCCCTCCATCGTGTGGAGACCGAGGTGGTACCATCCTAGGATACGATTACCAGCTGAATAATCGATCGGGTACTACTGACCAAGGAACAGCTCAAGTCACAGTAAATGAACTTCTCCCCTTCACTAATAACAGTTTCCGAGTTGCTGCAAGGAACAATGTTGGGCCTGGACCCTACAGTCAGACTGTAATTGCAATGACACTGGAAGCAGGTACTTTATTTTCTCTATTTATCGATTTGTGCCTGATCTTAAATTTAAAGGAATTTCTAACTCAAGGCGGAAAATCTTTTTTCCCAATCTTTGGCATGATTATTTCTGATTATGATTTTCTCTTTCATTTTGTCAGAGCCAACAGTTCCATTAAACATTCACATCCAGTCAGTGGACAACGTTTCTGTCATTCTCGAGTGGTCTGAACCAGACCCTCCAAATGGAGTTATCACACACTACAATGTTCGCTACTGGAAGAGTGGACAATTGGAATCTATCGAGAATGACACTGATTTGGTGCAATCGATTCATCATGTGACGGGCCTCAAAGCCAGTACTACATACCTATTTCAGGTTATTGTATTTTCTGAGTCAGCATAACACTATCAATGAAACTTGGGTTATCGTGCTACAGCGTCTCTGTAAAAGTTATCACTGAAAGGCCAAGTAAAAACATCATAACCCAACTCCTTTAAGCTGAATTATCATCTATTTGCATATTAACCAAGTGCACACACTTATCACTTAAACTAGTTTTGCGACCTGTATTGGATTTTACATTATTATGATGAGTTTTTATGCTTTTGAAGATGACACGTTTCATTTGAAACATCCAGTGAGTAGAAAGAAACAATTAGCCCACGAAAATCAAATCAGATAATAATGGCCTTTTCTGCTAACGAGAACGAAATAATAAGGAAAAACTCGATGCGGTTATTATGCCGGTTGATTAAGAAAACACGTGTGATCACATATCATACTAATTACAAGATAAGAAATATGTTTCCTAGAGCCTAGTTTGTACAACTGAAGGTACAAACCAATTTATGTTAAATGCGTTATCAATGTCCATTTTTTCAGTTCTTTTTTTTCTAGCAAGCCCTAAGCTCATTTCTAGTTTACGTGTTATAACGGTAAGAAGTAAAACACTATAGTAATAACTGAAACGAAGATTGAAACTGAAATCTGGATATTTTTGAAAGTTTCTTTTTAACGAATTTTCAGGTGCAAGCTGTGACATCACCTGGTGCTGGCCCTTGGAGTGAAGCTATCAATGCAACGACAGCAATTGGAGGTAAAAAACAAAATCGGCCATTTTTTTGCATTTTGCTTGATTCGCAACGCCAGTTTGTGACAATCCGCTCCATGGTATTCCATTACCTGCTGTATCAGATTCGATCTCCTTCCTTACAGTTCCCGGACCAATTCGAAACCTGACTCATACGGAGAGAACACAAACGTCCATCACCTTGTCGTGGCATTCACCTCTTGAACCGAGAGGGCCCATCACTGGTTACATAGTACGTATATTCGTTTTATATTGGAGGAGGAACCGTTGCGAAGAGCAGTCATAAGACTGGTAAAACCTCTTCTGGGCTTAACAGGTTACATTTGTAGAAATGAATTGGACACACTCATGTCTATACAGTGGCTCGGTCGAGGGATGTTTACCTATCCTTATGATATCACAAAGATCAGTTATTTCACACTTCTAACTTTTATATCTTGCAGGTAGAGTACAGGATTTTAGAGAGGCCTTCTCAACCGGACCTAACTTCAGAAGACACATACCACAGCAGCGAAGCTCAAAGATCACCCTTTCTTCAAGACAACCTCAGCCCTGGCACGAAATATGAGTTCAGGGTCTTGGCAAGAAATGAAATATTTCAGGGAACTCACGATCAAATCCTGAAAGTGTATACTAAGCCAGTGACAGGTAAATTGGTGCTGTAAAGTGTTATCCTTTTGTTGAAGTTTGAAAAAGGGACGGTTTTCTGAACACAAAAATTGATTCGACATTATTCTTAGAAGTCATTTTTCCGTGTCCCTTCTTTTCGATACGTTCTGGGACAACTGATCAATAACCTGTTTCTCCCCGTAGACTTGCCTCCTCCGACACAACCTACAACGTATCCGAAGAAAAACACGGATTCTACCGTAACAATTGGTCTTGCGACACTTGTCTCTGACGATACGGATGTCAGGTAAGAATGAACTTCTTCCTCGTAGGCATGCTATCAGCAGAAAGGGATACACTGGTGAAAGTGTGAGCATGACTTCTGTTGTTATCTGAACACACTGTTGTTGATTGTAAAAGAGCTTCACGAAAACTAAATCTAGTACAAAAGATGTTTGTTTTTTCGGTTTGCGTAACCCATACTAGAATTTCGGAATCGGAAAATACTACTGCACGAAAGAATTGTTTGTCGATTTTTTTTAACATAGGAGAATTTTGTAATTCATAAATGCAATAGACATGAGCATTGCGACAAAAAATCACATCACATAAACTTTTTAGATTTAAAGCCAACATTTTTGACTGTGAAATTTTTTTACTTTGAACAGATTTTCATTCAGATTTTATCGTATTTAAGCGTTTAATTATTAATTATTATGTAACATTGTAGTTCTCAGTGTACTTTAAGTACTTAGTACACAACTATGAAGACTTCCTCCACAGTTCCTACGTGGTTCACATCAAGAAGACCTCTCCATCCAAAGCTAAGAGGGAGGCTTTGAATGTAACGCACTACGAGGACTCACCTGATGACTATATAGCAGCAGAGATATCCAAGCAGAACTTAAGCGAGAAATTTGTAGTAGGAGACAATCAAACCTATGGAATGTACAGGAATGCACCACTGCAAACAGGCGCCACTTATGACATTCGGGTCGGATCGGTTAGTCGAGGAAATGACCAAGTAAGTTTGGCCAACAGTCTTTTTCATATTTATGGCAAGGTGTGAAGTTGCTAAAATATATTATAACATGCTTTCTCACTTAGGCCTATTAAAATCCGATCAGCAGGCTTCGAGTACACCCTTTAGAGACGGAATGTTCTTACTTTCGATAAAATG